ACTTAAGTCGGTGTCGCAAATCAACGCACAAAAATTGTCGTAGACGTATATCACATTTATCGTATTGCAAGGCAACATACGTCTACGACAATTCTTTGTACGTTGACTTTCGACACCGACTTAAGTCTTACGACAGAATCGTAACCGGTTACGACAATCTTCCTGCTCAGGCTCTTAGGGCCTTAGGACTAAAGACTTAAGTCGGTGTCGGGAATCAAAAATTGTCGTGGACGTATGTCACATTCATCGCATCGCAAGGCGACATACGTCTACAATGCAATTGGTTAAATCCCTCGTTGCGACGCTCGCGATTCTACGACTATGACTATTGTAGATGAGGTTTTAAGCTAATATTACGTTTGTCGTACGGCAATTTTTTCAAGCGTGTTGATTGGCTGCAAAATAGTCAAGTTCTCGAGTATCTAGAAATTTTCTATCCAGCAGCATGCCTGAAAAATTTGTCGTACGACAAATGTAATACCAGCCTTACGACGTAAACGATTACGACAATCTTTCCTGCTCGGGCTCTAACGTGCTAACTCCCGTCGCGAGGGGGGTGGGGAATGAGCGACGAAAGTGGAGAACGCAGAGAATTCGACGCGTTCGTCAACCTGGCGATTCCTTTCTAAAGTCCGTGGGTCCCGGGGGGGTTTTATACGGGGTGTCACTCGCGCGAGTTATCTCAGTAGGATTCTTCGGGGAAGCTTCCTCGGAGAAACTTGGAGGCTCGCGTCACTTGAATTTCCGTTTCGCGAGATTGAGGCTGGAAATTCTCTGTCGCTTCAGAGGACTTCAAATTGAAGTCAGAGATCTCATGTTGATTGGGTTTGTAATAATTTAGCATTTTACTGCCACTAACTCCATAAAGCATTCTGTACTAGTACTAGTACATTTTATTGATTCCCCTTAGGGTTACAAGGCGTTTTTGAAGGAACGTGCCCAAACCTCTTATAACACCTCTCTCTATATCCACATCGCTATGTGGCGATCGAACGAAAAACCAACAACGTTTTTGTTTGGTTTTGAACCCGGGTCTTTGGATTACCAGACCAGCGCACAATCCTCTGCGCCACGATCGCCACTCCATAAAGCATTCTTTTTATCGTAATTCTTTTAACAATTCGGCCGTTCTTTGGATTATTACAATTGGTGTTAACTTTATATATTCTTTCTTATCAACGGATATTTTTGCTGCCATGTTTTTCTACTTCTACTCTCTCGTTTGTGACCACATGACTTCGATCATGTAATCGCGTAAACCAAACGGCTTTGCGACCGGTTGGTCTCGAAGCAAACCATCATCAAACGGGAGAGAACGTGCGAGACATGACTTATTTATTTAACGCTGAAGCTGGACTCAATGCGGAACCAAAATGTCCCATTATTATGTTACGTTAATCGTGTCACGAGACTAAGGCCTGGTCTACAATGAGTTGTTAGTCGTTAGTCAGAAATCGGAACTATATGTTGATCCTTTTCCTTTCTGGGTGGAAGAAAAAGGATCGACATATAGTTCTGACTTTCGACTAACGACTAGCGACCCATTGTAGACAGGGCCTTAAGCCAACGGCACACGATACGATTTTTCCTACTGGATTGCTTACGAGAGCCAATCAGGATGCAGAGTTTTAGATCAGGTGACTTGAAGCTAAATCCTGATTGGCTCTCGTAAGCAATCCAGTAGGAAAAATAGTACCGTGTGCCGTTGGCTTAAATTAAATATACCAATGACATTTTGACACACAGTGATATTTTAACAATCGTGTTGCACTCTCATGCCTTTATTAATTGCGATTTTTTTTTGTTTTTATAACAAAATCGAAATGGAGACTTCGCTGTAGTTTGCTCGAAATCAATTGAAGAGTGTATTCGTTGTCGATCTCTAGATCGTCCGCGGAAATCGTCGACAATATTTACGCCGAACACATCAAAATATTTGTTTCGAGTATAACTGCGCCGGCGAGTTTGGGACACCCCGTGGACGAAAGATATGCGGGTGCAACCGGATTAGTCGGTCGATTGATCAATTTATCGTCCCATATCCCTTCACAAGTCACATTCCGCGGTTCACCAATTTCCAACAACGACATTAGACGCCAACATTTATCGGCGATCGCTTCGCAATTTTCTATGTTCTCAAAATCGAGTTCCGATAAAGAAGAAGAAGAAACAGTTACGGTTCGCGAATCGAGCGAGTCTCGTCGCGTCTAATTTAATTTTTCGTCCCCTTTCAAGGCGAATAATCGGAAGCGTCCACTATTCGTAATTAAATATCCGTTAATACGCGTGTGTATGTACAAATGGTACGAATTTACGAGGAATCGCGTCTGAATCGCAGCGAAGGACGGGGACACTCGATGTCGATAAACGTGGCGCGCGGAGAGAAAGAAAATTAAGTTACACGCAGTTGAACCGACGTCGGTACGATCGAACCGGTTTTCCGGCGAACCAACCTCGATATTCCACGTTCCTTCCCGGGGATATATCACGCGCCGAGCTCCGACGTGCACTGAGAAAGAGGAGACGGCCTCACGCGGCGACCGGGGGGGCCGCGGCGTCGCTGCCAGGTCGACCCGCGAAATCGCCTCGGTTGACCGACTCCGAGCTCTCCGTCACGCGTTTCTGAATCACGCGTTTCGGATCGCGACGCGCGATCGGAAGCGAGCCGGACGATCGCGATCGAACGCGGCCGGGAGCCAACGTTACCGGCGACGACCCGCGCGGACGTCCGGCGCCGCGACGGCGGGCCCGCGGCTCATTTTTCTTTCTCCCGGGATGACGAGGCAGCGGAAGGATTCACGAATCGTAGCCCCCTCCCCTCCCCCGCACGACGTCGGCGACGGAGACGACGACGGCGACGTCCGGCGACGTCGACGGCGCGCTTACCTGATTCTGCTCGCACGCACCCGTGGTTCTCGTGACACGTGTGCCGCACCGCATCCACGACGACGGCCCGCCTGGCGCTCGCGCTCGCGCTACTAACACTGCAACAGCCCGGCGAAACAGGAAATCGCACGATCCACACCCAAAAATCCCGTCACGTTAGGAAAATACTGACACCTCACTGAAAATATGGCCGCCGCCGCCTGTCCGTCCGTCCGTCTGTCCCGTTCACACGAAGCGGCGGTCTTGGGCGAGTAAGGAGAGGGGGAACGAGCACGAATCACGCGCCTCACGAAGACGCACCGCTCGCGGTCTAATTCCTAAAGCCTCGTCTACATACAAGTCGTAAGAATAGTCGACTATGATTGGTTAAAGCCTCCGCTACAATGATTCTCGGTTCTAGCCTCCGCTACAATGATTCTCGGTTCTGTCTACAATGCGAGTCGCAGAGTCGTAGTCGTAAGAATAATCGACTGCGATTGGTCAATTCTTACTTTGCGACTGCTCAAGCGACCATCGATACAACTGTACGACCATTGTAGACAGAACCGAGAATCATTGTAGCGGAGGCTTCTGTCTACAATGGTCGTAGTCGTAAGAATAATCGACTGCGATTGGTCAATTCAGTCAGACGCATAAGAATTGACCAATCGCAGTCGATTATTCTTACGACTACGACCATTGCAGACAGAACCGAGAATCATTGTAGCGGAGGCTTTATAGTTAAAAAAAAGATCTCCGATTGGAATCGGAGGAGACTGGTGAAGGGCTCTTATACAATTAAGTTAGTCTATTTTTCAGATATCAGTGTATACACACATATGACTGATGTTTTCTTTGCCAGTAATAAATTACAAACAAATAATATTTGACTAGAATTAATAGAAATTTTATTCCTTATATCTTAACTTATTCAATATATTAATAGAAGGAAACCTACCGATGGAATATTATCTCTTCTTTCGACAAGAGTAACTAAATTTTGGGTAACTTCTAAATTAATTAATATTTGATTAAAATTATCTGAATCACTCAAACCTTTTTTTTAATCACACTTCATAATTCTTCATATAAAATACAAATACGATCCTGTATAAAAACCTTAACTTTTCCGACTAAATGCCGGGTGGACAAATAGTCAATTAATTACAAATAAATGAAAACTACTCACAAATCTTTTCAATTGCGTCACGAGGGCTGGGAGACTCTGATACTTCGGAACTTATTGGCTTTCTTTCTTATTATATTATCATACCGGTTCATGATTTCACTTTCAGTATTACATGAATAATAATATTATTGTACGTAGTCCCTTACATCGATTCCAGCAAGCACGTCAACTCTGAAGGACCGGTTAACGTACTTCATTAAAGGAAATATCGTGTTTTCCACGTCATAGTTACTGTTGTGCATATGGTTCTGTAACTAGCTTCTTGAAATATTTCCACGTCTTCGTAAACAGCTCTCGCTATGTTGTCATAGTAAAATTCGAAATTATGTAACCTGCTATATCCGATACAAAATGATTAAATCCAATATTTTTAATTTGATGGATACTGCCAAATGTATCTGATATTCTGAAGCGACAGACAGTCGTCAGCGGAACGTTTAAAATGCTTCGGCAGCAGTACATTATGAAATAGAATTTTCATGTAAAAAAAACAACCATGTATAGAAATACTGACGCTGTCTCGTCAGCGATGTCGGCGTTGCAGGCGTCAAACAGTGTGCAGGCTAGTATCGTATGATCGTAATAGTCTGAAACAAAAATTTAAAAAATTTACCTATTAATTATAGATTAATACACATCGCTTAAATCTCATTGAGCGAGAAAGAAAATTAATTTGAAAAAAGCGGCATTTGAAAAAAATTTCAGCTTTTCTATAAAAATTATCATTTTTATTGTAAAATAAAAATTCAGAACGAATTTAGTTTAAGGACTCTGATAATAACAATAGAACAGAAAGAAAAAGGAAGGCAGTAAGAGGGAAGGCGACACAGGAATCGTGTTGATGTTACATGATAATATTCTAAAATCATGTATCGAAATATATTGATATCCACCGCCGAGTGAGACCGTTACTTTACATTTCAAGCGACATTTGTTTGGTTACAATGATTATTTTGTTTAACTCAAGCTTCCGCTCTTAATTTATATTTAATTAATTATTTTTTTGTATGTCATTGAAAAGGATCACAGTTGATCAAAACGTTTGACCATTATGAAAATTTTTATATATTAAACTTTTGTTTTCCGCATCTAACATCCTGCGTTGGCTCTTACTGCCTTCCTTTTTCTTTGTTTTATTTAAATAAAAATTTACTTTAAAAATTATGTCAATTTTTGAGATCCGATGAAAAATGTAATTTTCTACATATACATAGAGTATGTAGAGCACCAGAAGAACGCAATCGATCAAATATTTTTTTAGTTATCCTGCACACCAGTCTGAAAAATGATTTTGAGAAAAACGCGTTTAGTTATTAAGTTTTTAGTTATAAAAAAATAATACATTTTCAATACTTACAGCTGTTTTGCCCTAATCGATGATCCCAGGGCCATATAGTAGATCTTCTTCGTCCTCGTATAACTGCTGCTCCTGCAAATTAATTTCTTTTCGAGTAGCTCGACCTTCTTTCGAACTTCTGAAGTCTCGTCGCCCATGTCGCTGTATCCGCGCGGTGTCATAAGAGTCTGCATACTCTATGCAGTGGGAACCAATTTTTAGTTGTAGTGTATCCATAATTTTCAAAACAGCAAAATAGCCTTCATTAAATAATCCTGCGGCAATGTATGCAGCTATTTCTACCGTTTGGATGCCACAATATAAATGTTTCGGAGCCAAGCGCCAAACACACGAGTTAAAGCTCTCGGTCACATTTTGTGTGTGCCCGCCTAAATATCTTTGCACAAGTTCATTCTTAGACAAATCTTCGTATAAAGGCAATAAATGTTTTTGAAGATCTGGATGAAGTGGGGCGGGGTGGTCAAAAGTGGCTCCTGTGGCTTCAGCCACATGCCATTTGCACCAGCTCTGTACGCCCGGCGGACAATTCTCGTGCATCGGATTTTCATTTGTTGAGCACAAATGTTTATATGTTGCCATTATCTCCTTTTTCATGTCATCGACAGAATCAACATTTCGACGAACTGCTAATCCATAATAAGTAGTTAGCCTTTTTATCAAGGCGTCAGTCAATTTCTCACCCAATTTTTCTCTTTCTTTCAAATTTCGAAGCTGCGTACTCATTCTATTCTCAACGTGCTCGACACATTCATTTACAACTACTGTAAAATCATCAGTATATGGATTCAAATCCAGTATACCATTAAAAGTTTTAGAATCTCCGTCTCCGATGTAGTTGCCGTACTTGACACCAAACTCCTCCTCAGATCTCGCGAACATTTCCTTTATGGAATCCACCTCCATCTTTCCTGAAGAGCAGTCATGATTTATGCAGCATTCATTCTCGTGTGCTTCTGCCCATTCCAGATATTCATCAGTGCCTTCTTTACTCTTCCAAAGTATACAAGCCTGACAGTAGCTTCCCTTTATGACAAGATCAATCACTTTCCCAGAGTAATATCCGACGAGAGTACTTACTGCATACAGCGAAGAAAAGCCGTGTTTTTGCCAGGAGCTGTCACTAGAAACTTTTAAATTACTTAAATCCCTTTCTTTCTTTTCATTTTCCGCTTGCTCCTCTTTCATGGCTTTCTTCCGAAGCAAAAGAAAGACTATTTTTGAGGCGTCATAAATGTGTCGCAAGATGACGTAATAAGAATTCTTACCGATACCCTTCCCTAAATCCATAAGGCTACAAAATAAATTTATACCTTCTCTACTAACACCTAACAATCTCATTACAAAAACGATTCTACGATTGATCTCGTAACTGTTGTTTATAAAAGTGGAAGAATAAATTTGCCTTCTACCACACAGGCACGAAAGTAAAATCTTGAAACCGAGCCCACGATTATCGCTCTGTGCAAAGGAAACGCGTTGCTTGCATTCTTTACACACGAGTAAGTCTGAAAGTGCCGTAAATACTGTGATAAAGTCTAGTATTTTGTAACAGTGCGATTGATAAAGGGGTATTTCTTCCGACTGCGCGATACCCAATTGTCTAGCGCTGGTACTTTCTCCAGTCGGAGCACCATCAACCTTCTTAAACTGATTGCCACCAAACACACGTTTACGCGGCCTCGAAGAACGACACGTTCTGTCTTTTGGCATCTTTGCAAGTCTTTTGTTACGAATTACAACTTCGAATTACACTTTTACGCAGGACCATAATCCAAAACATGCCTGAAAACAACAGATAAACATATAGTACTTTTACTGCCACAAGGGTCCAGCCAGACAAACTTGCATAAGTGCACAAGCATATACATAAAGAAATTGTTTGGCATTTACATCCCAATCGACATCATGCTATGAAAGTTCGTCTGACCAAAAAACTTACGGCCTAAGCTGTACAAGTATGCACAGGTAAACATAACCTACAAATTGAAAAGAAAACATCCGTTGGACACATACTTACAATCATCGACATATAGCACTGAACGGAGCATGCGGTAAAGCCCATCATACAATAGGAAAGCACAGGCCAAGAAGACTAGGGACCAGAAGACCCAGAAGACTCAACTACTGCTTGAATCCAGGGGGTAGGCTAAAATGTGGCCGCCAAGAAAACTAGGGTGCGTTCCGTTTTCGCGCACGACACACGCATGGATGCATCTTGTATCCTTCTTTAACATTTGGTGAATAACAAGGATAAATGACGTGTCGTGAGCGATAAAAGGAACGCACCCCTAGACTCTAGACCAGAGAGACCAGTGATGCAAACTCCGCGTACTTTTGCGGCACGCCGTGATCAGAGAGGGGTTAACGCACACAAGCGAGCTTAGCGAGCAGCCCGTGTATGTACGTGTGGTCTCGACGAAGAGAGAAGATATTTTTGTAAAGAAGATACTTTTGCAGAAAAGACATTGTTGTAGAGAAGATACTTTTACAGAAAAGACAGAGTAACAAAGTATTCGGTTGAACTGGAGCTTGTACTTCGTGCTTTTCTTTTTGTTTTTTTTAAGTTTCAATTGCACCGATCTCGTTGATATATCTTTTTTTTTCCGCGTATCGTGTCCCAATTCTCATTTTATTTATAAGATGCGCTCGTTATCTTTCCGGAGAAAGATACTATCTGCATCTATATTTGTTTCGATTATATCTTTTAAGAAGAGATCTTTTAAGAAGAGATACCAAGCTCTGCTCCTCAGGGTCTATCTCGTACTTCCGTGCCGCGGCCTCGCGACGCGGGATCGTCGCGCTATACTTATATGCACCGACGGTGCACGCGCCGCCGAGTCGCGCGGCGGATTACGCGCTCGTCGTGCCGTTTCGAGGGACGTGCCAACCGGTGCAAAGTGTCCCTCGCCGTGACGTCGCTCTATTGTCTCGCCGTCGCCGGTTGCTGCCTGGCGATGTCGATCCACCGGGAATGGCGGGAATGCAAGTGAAGTGTGCGACGTTGGTGAACACGCAATAAATAAATAATTAATGACAGCAGGCCGAGCGGCGAGTCGCCTCTCGACGCGAGCGACGCGGCCAGTCGAGTGTCTCGCGCCCTGCGTTCCGTTCCCAGTTTCGTTCAGTCGCTCGCTCGACGATTATGTCCCCGCGTCACGTCGAGCTGCCGCGCGTCTCGTCGGGCCGCAATGACATGCTAACCTGAAACGTCACCGCTCGGATCTTCGAAGGTAAACAACGTTCGCGGCCGAGTTCAGGGACAAGAGTCGAATCTGTCGAATCGAACGTTTGCGAGTGTTCCTCTCCTCCTCCGGAGAGAGACCGAGATCGCTGCTCGAAAAGCAGAAAGGACGAGACGAACTAAGACCCGAGGGGCGAGGAGGAGACGCACCGGCGCTCGCGCGCCTCCCGCGTCGACGTCATCCGTCGTTCTGGAATCGTCAAACGACTCGAACGTTCGAGTCCCGGGACACCCGGAGGAAAACCGGAGGGGATCGCGGTCCCCCTCCCCCTCCCTTCCCCTCCAGCGGTCTCCACCATTTGTCTATTTCGTCCCGCGCTCCGTCACTTTCTTTCCCGGGGGGGAATAGTCTCGCGGGGAAGGGGGGCACTGACGAGGGTAGCAGAGTGCAAGAGCGGGCGAGCTCGAAAATATTCGGTCCGCGTAGCAAGTCATCTCGTGTGGGTGCCCGAGTTAACCTAACGTTAACCTAACCTAACCTAACCTCTCCGCGCTGTGACACGTTCCCAGTCTCCATCTCGCCCGCGCTCCCTCCCTCCTCCTCGTCCTTACTCGCGGCGAGGACACACGGGGAAGACGCGAGAGGCGTCGCACCGCCCCGAGGTCGAGGAGATCCGCGCGGTCAGGTACGGCGGTCCTCGCGGCCGCGCCAATCCACGACGGCCCGTTGCAGCGTGTGGGATCGTCGCCGCGAGAAGGCGGTTGTTTGTTGTCCCGCGCGAGTAACATGCGCCGTCCGCGGGCCTGATATCGTCGCGCACGCGAGTCCGCGCGAGGGAACGACAGGCGCAGATAAATATGGTTAGTCACACCGATTCGCGCGCGAGACGCCCGGTACCCTCCTCTCTTTAGGCATGCCCGGCCTCGCGCGCGGACGCGAGTCGCCCGCGCGAATCGGGTCGCCGCGGAAGCGTTTGTTTATCGGCCGAGACCGCGCCACGTGATGGCTGGCAGGCAGGCGAGAGTCGAGCGGCTCGCTTTCTATCGCTGCACTGGTGAACTAGTGCGATAAAGGCCTGTGTCCACGATGCTAGAACTTGGTCCAAGTTCTAGTTCTGAGAAATGTGTAGCCAATCAACCTGCAGCTGTTCCATAAAAACTGCAAATTGATTGGCTACACATTTCTCGAAACTGGAACTTGG